ACATTGCAATCATATTAATAAACTTGAAAGAAGAAAAGAATAAACTAGTTCATAAATTTTCTCTTCCATATGTTTTTTCGCAAAAAATAATCCCGTCCTGAATGGGTTAACATTTTCTTAAATACATGTCAATGTTTTTAATAAATCAATAAAATACCAAGGTTTACAAATCCAGCAACGAATACGATCATTCTAAGTAATCCTATCGAAGGGTGAGGGGTCTGAGTACTGATAGAGAAAGACACCCTCACCCTCAATCCTGATCGTGGTAGTTGTTTAGTGAAAAATATAATGACACACCCACATCGTTTATGTCGACATGGTGGAAGAAAAATATGAATACTCAGATCCATACACACCCTAATTAAATCTTTGTCAACGAAGAAAAAACAAATTTTCTCTTGATGAATTAGTTGAGCGGAAAGAAAAAAGCACAATATTTGTTCTGTCTTATTCTCGATTTTTGACACACTTCTTTTCGACAACGGAAATAATTACTACATGTAGATACATCATATATTAATTCTAATATTGAGAAGTAAAACATGTCAGTATTCTACTTGCTAATAATAATTTGAGTATGTTTTCTATAAAAGAAAGAAACAGAGTCATTTCTGCTCAAAACTTTTCTTTAGTTTTTTGAATTGGTTGTCTCGTCTCATAGGAAACAAACGCTGTAACTTTTATGCGGACCGATGAAGAGAATACTACCATCGCCAGCAGAACAATCCACCAGCTCACCAACTTGAATTTGTTTTCAGAGAATGGTGAAACAGTAATCGATCAACGCTTAGCTACTCGATTTTATGTCATACTGGTCGGTATCGGTGTTATCGTTGCTCTTCTCTTTTCTGGTTGAAGCGTACGGACAAATGTAATCACTGTGTACGGAAACCATCTCTCACTTTCCCTTATTGAACGCTTGCAGAATCAGTATCCAACAACTCTTTCTTGTCCATGCACACAAACATCAATTCGTCGCGATAAGTTTTTATCATTTATGCCCGAATATGATCCAATATGTTCAAGTATCTTAATAGAATCGGAATGGATCGAATCATTATTTCAAGCGAATAATAGAACTCGTTATTATCATCCTCTTGATTTTCGATTGGTAGCTTCATCACAATTTGAATTTCTCGCATTATTGTGTCACACAGCATCGAGTTTCATCAATGATCAACTATATGGTGAATTTGCGTCGATGTTAATGGTTCCTCCACAGTTATCAACACGTCTTGTATTCGAAGTTGAAGTATCCGATATTGTTCAACAATTTCAAATTAATACAGTCACATCTTTATTGCGCACTAATCGACTACTATACACAATGCTGGAACAGAACTTGATTATGTCAGCGTTGGGAACCAACTTTTTTACAACAATGATGCCAGGCTCTCCTATTTTTAATACTTATTGGAGCATATATCTGACGGATATTACGACAAATGAAACCGATCCATTTAGCGCATCAGTTCCTTCTTGTGAATGTATCACAACATTTGAATGCACATTTCCTGCTGGTATATATAATGAAGAACCACGGAACGGTCTCGGTGGCTTGATTTTACCTCAACTTCCACCACTCTCAATCGATCATGTCTTAATATGCTCGGTCAACCTTTCAATGAAACTATTCCACTAATAAGATCACGTTTTTCACCCAACACAGCTGTGAATATATTGCTTACGGAATTTTTTCTGGAATCTTTACACAATACTAGTGATTATGTCAGCTATTTCGACGAATGTGCTCCTTCAATGTGTACTTATATCTATTCACGACGATTTGACATACTTCACATGGCCGCAATTGTTACCAGCATCTTTGGCGATCTGTGTGTCATTTTTCGATTGTTATCATCATTATTTATTAAATTCTATCGACGAATAACACGAATACGAACTGAAACAGAACAACCGGAAGAAAACCGTGCAAGAACGTCGATTCGTCTTCTTCAAACTTTTCGTCTACTTAAAGAAAAAGTTCTAACACTCGATTTATTCGAATCAGATAATATTCATCTTAGTATAATTTCCACTCGTGTCTATATTAGTTTATTGCTGATTGGAGCAATTACATTTTCAATTTACACGTCGTTGGCAATTGATATGTATACTATCACAATACGTTCACCAACTCTAACTCAATATGAAAATGCCGAAGTGTTGTATATCTACTAACGCGCAATAACTTCAATGCCCAAACAGCCATAATTATCGCTCAATTCGAACTTCACACGTTTGCTTCATTTACGGGTTTATTTGAACTGATTCGAGTTTCAATCAGTAATAATCAACTTTTTCCTGCTTCAAGTGCCAGTGCTCTCTTCACTCCACAAAACAATCAAACTGTAGCTTTTTCGCCTACGACGGAGAACAATAACTATTCTTGTAGTATAACAAGTCAGTGTAGTGGTCAACGTGGCTTTTATCCCATGTGGAAATTAGGCATGCCAGTTAATGCTGAAGTTAGCGCGCAACTAGTGCCTGGTTTTGTCGGTGCATGTTTTCCTGTTGAAGCTGGACTCCTCTCCAGTCTCGAATGCATCTACAATCCATCATGTTTAGCATTACTTATTGCATGGCGTTCTTTCAATATGACTGATATTATATAAAACCACTGGAAGATGCTACACTAAATATTTCTACTCTCGATCCATATATACAAAGTCGTTTTTTGCCTAATACTACTATTGACATAATTGCAGCTCAACTATTCATTGAAAAATGGATAAC